CTTTGCATCGCAAGGGTAGAACTTACTCACCCGACATAGGAGATGTGTTATTGTAATTGCACCAACCAGAAGTACTTCTTCAGTCTGCGTTTGCACTCCAGATCGACCTGCAAAGCCCCGAGATAAAACTCGGGGTAGACACTTCGATGCTTAAGTCAGCAATAATCGAGACTACCTTTAGAGCAGAGATAAAAGGAGTTTAGGGTTGGTTTCAATTACCTTTTCACGTGGCCCGGGGGTATTTATAGGATCCAATGAGGAACCCAAGTGGCATGCCAAGCAAGATAATCGGAGGAGCCTGACGTGTCTATCCAAAGGATTATTTCGGGACCGGTAATTTGAGAGGTATTCAGGTACATGGACGTCTATCATACCTGCTGTGCAGCTCATCATAAGGAATCAGGTGTGGGCATGCTTATTGTCATTGTCATTGTCATGCAGCTATTCGAGCGGGAAACTTTGGATTTATTTTTCACTTCGGTCATAAAGGAATTACTGTAGCAGTTCGAGGCTTGGCACCTCGGACCTGTCCTTACACTTATGCCGATTGCTTGAAGGCTTGACATGACTTCGCTCCTATGGATTCTGAAACCCTAATGGAGAATTTTGAGGAAAATGAAGAAGGGAGGAGGCAAGTGAATATGGAAAAACTCAACTGAAACTCTAATGATTTTGGAGAAATCTGAAGAGCAAAAAGATTTTATTTTATTTTTTAAAGTAATATAAAGATAATTTTTTATATAATATTTTTATATAATTTATATATATTATAGCATAAATAAATATATTTAATATTATAAAATTTAAATAAATAAAAATAATTAATTATTTAAATAATATATAAAATATTATAAAAAATTATCTTTATATTATTTTTTTTTCTTTTCTAGTGATTCCCTATTTCATGATCGAGATCATTATTTTTAACCACGTCATTAAAAATGTGGGGTCGTAAACGAAATCTGTTAGCCATATCATGACACAAATCTACCCAATCCTTAATTAGTAAATTTCTTAAATTTTTAATTTTTGAAATGTAATAAAGTTGATTACT